AGAAAGAAGGGGGAGACTGTGCAGGATTCCCCCATTTAATAACCGAGCCGCGGCCAGAGTACAGACTCTTCGTGAGGGATCACTGTCCGTGGTAGGACCGAGGCTCTTTAATGCCTTGCCAAAAGAGCTGAGAGGAGGGGAGTTTACCCTTGCAACATTCAAGAGACAACTGGACAAGTGGTTGAGCAAGATCCCGGACTGTCCAGTTATGGGAAACTACCATCAGCAAGCGACAAGCAACAGCATCTTGCATCAGCGTGCCCAAATGAGGGCTAATAGACGGAACACGTCCAACGTTACATCCGACGACGACTCGGGGACGGAGGACGACGAAGGCGGCGCATCAGCGTGACCGTGGACTGCGACGTCCTAAACTCATCATAAGGTCAAGGTCATAAGGTCAAAGGCAGGCTATGAAAACTTTTGGCGAAAGCAAAGTTAAAAAAACAATAAATCTTATAATGCCACCCAAACTACACTCAATTGCTTTTACAACAATTAAATTAATCATCAACATATTGAGAATTTTATACACAATAAAGACTGATCACTCCAGTCTCACCGCACTGTGAGAGTACCAGTACGGAAGACGGCACTTTACGTATAAGTCTTTTTCGAAAACCAGATTCCACGCTCCAGGCAATCATAGTAGAAGGCCAACGGAGTTTCCAGCATTTTTGGCTCTCAAGCTGGAACGTGCGCACGATGTGCACCGGTCAATCTGATCACTTCCACATCATTGCAGACATTCGTAAGACGGCAGTGCTTCATTGCGCCAAAGACTTTATTTGCGTCAGATGAGATCGAGTCTGTCATCATCGGCTTATGCGGTGAAAAGAGTGGCACTAATATCATCTTTCGAGGTGAATGAATGTCATTTACACGTACTGTTGAAAGATCAGTTTGAAAATGATTTAATTTTTTCTGCTTTAAATATAACTTCATTTTTACCTCCATGTTGCCAACTCACGTGTGGCGTTATCACAACCGCATCGCAAGATTGGATGTTGTGCAGAATAAAGTTGCAAGCTTGCACTTAGGCCTCTTATGTAGACCGCCATAAAAGCGTAGAATGAACCTATGGGATGGCTTAGTAGATGATGGTATTAGAGTTGGAGACTTAATGCTTAGTGTGAGAGGAAATGCCTTTAATTGTGAATGGACTTATACAGTTGGAATAAATGGCGAGTTGATGCGTGTTTCAAATCCAGTAAAGTCTGTAAAGATAAGGGTAGAACCGTGGAACAACGATGAGCGTAATGCATTTGAGGAATGCATTATGTGAGTAGTATCTCGTACTCAGAGATGTGAGTACGAGAAAAGTGAAGGTGATGGCATGATCTATGAGAAAACATGATATGAATGGATTGCGATGATAGTGGGCTTGTCAGCAGGAGTAACATGCCGCCAGGCTTAGAGAGGAACGAAATTTTTTAAGTGAGTGAAGGGTTGCAGAGAGAGACTGGCTAGCGGGGAAGGGTCTGGAAGGTTGTTGGAACAATATGAGTAAAAATGAAAATTCTAAATAATCATCATAATCTTTAAAAAATGTATGCAGAATAAATAACTATTTTGAAAAGACATTAAAAAAATCACTTGAGACTCCAAAGTTTCCCCACCTTAACTAGGTATGTACAGATTCAACTTCAACTCAATATTACCTTTCCTTTATTTCATTTCCAACCTTGTCAGCTTGACTCGAGCGACAATTCTACGGACTCGTCAGCGGACTTGCCTGCGGACTCAAACGCAAAACCTAACTACACGCTCAACCGAAACACTCATAACTCCTACAATACTGAACAGATTTGCTTGAATTTTGGAATATAAGTAGTTATTATCGATACGCTGCGGTAGGAATTATTACAGATTTTTGGATAAATTAGTTTTCAATTAAAACTAATAAACGTATTTTTTGATCGACCGAAACACTCATAACTCCTACAATACTGAACGGATTTGCTTGAATTTTGGAATACAAGTACTTATAATTGATACACTGCGGTAGGAATTATTACAGATTTTTACGTGACTTATTATTGGGTTAGGTTAGGTTAGGTTAGGTTAGGTTAGGTTAGGAAATAATTCATGCAAAAATCTGTAATAATTCCTACCGCAGCGTATCAATTATAAGTACTTGTATTCCAAAATTCAAGCAAATCCGTTCAGTATTGTAGGAGTTATGAGTGTTTCGGTCGATCAAAAAATACGTTTATTAGTTTTAATTGAAAACTAATTTATCCAAAAATCTGTAATAATTCCTGCCGCAGCGTATCGATAATAACTACTTATATTCCAAAATTGAGGCTAATCCGTTCAGTATTATAGGAGTTATGAGTGTTTCGGTCGATCAAAAAATACGTTTATTAGTTTTAATTGAAAACTAATTTATCCAAAAATCTGTAATAATTCCTGCCGCAGCGTATCGATAATAACTACTTATATTCCAAAATTGAGGCTAATCCGTTCAGTTTTATAGGAGTTATGAGCGTTTCGGTCGATCAAAAAATACGTTTATTAGTTTTAATTGAAAACTAATTTATCGAAAAATCTGTAATAATTTTTACCGCAGCGTATCGATAAAAACTACTTATATTCCAAAATTCAGGCCAATCCGTTCAGTATTGTAGGAGTTGTGAGTGTTTCGGTTGGTCAAAAAATACGTTTATTACATTTAATTAAAAACTAATTTATCTAAAAATCTGTAATTATTCTTACCGCAGCGTATCGATAATAACTACTTATATTCCAAAATTCAAGCAAATCTGTTCAGTATTGTGGGAGTTATGAGTGTTTCGGTTGAGCGTGTAGTTAGGTTTTGCGTTTGAGTCCGCCGGCGAGTTCGCAGCCGAGTCCGCTGAAGTGTCGATTCGGTGTCAGCTTGTCGCTTCAGAATTTATCACTGCATTTACATTATCATGCATTATTATCATTATCACCCAAATCGAATTCAAATTGGAATTTAAAACGGCGATATTTGTGTTACTTCGTTCCTGGTATAATTCAGACCAATGACATATTATTATATGTATGTACCACCATCGCACGCATTTTTGAAAATTTGTTTGTGCCTTTGTTTTGTGCGCTCAATTATCCGAATTGGTAACAACATACCGGTACACCTAATTCAACTAACGGAGCAACATATAAAATATAATATTAAACGTACTCAAGTGTTAGATTTGAATACGACCAATCATACGTTCAAAATAAATATTTTTATCGCCTTGCATGGTTTTTTATGTGATTTAAGGTATTCTCATTTTCGCCGATTTCGCGCGATTATTTTTACTTCTATATGACTATATCAATGTAGTATCAGCACTTGTCTAGCAGCTCATATATTTTTCTACCTAAACTTTAATCAAAGCATCATTTTTTGAAACAAAGCTTGCGCAAAAATTTCATTTGCATATTTTCTGTATTCCGGAACTGAGATATATGTTGTGATTCCGTATCTGCAGATAATTTCACTAAAATCTTACAATGTACGCAGAAATCCTTGTTACTTCTCAGTTTCGTAAATTTCGTTGCGAGTGCGTGAATGGCCGAACAATATCTCGTAAAGTCTCTCTTGCACTGTGGTCAAGCCTCAAGGTAAGACGTGATCCAGGCGAGTGAGGCGACAGCTGACACAAACTTCCTAATGATAGTAGGTTAATGTCATTGTCCAATGTCCAGAGACCAGAGCAGCAGATCTGAGATCTGTAGTCTTTGTTGCCTCTGTTGAACTTGAAGTAGCTTAGTAATAGTAGCCTACCGCTACCTGTAAATCTGCTAGTACGGTAGTAGGACCAAACCAATGATTGGTATACTCCAATCTGCTGTCCAATCAGCACAAAAAAGTGAGGTTCCTGCAGGTGGATCCCATCGCGGCAGTGCCCGCAGTGCCAGGGTAATCCTCATTACTCAGTCATTAGTCATTAGACTAGCAAGTGAAGATGCAAAGAAGATGATGATTATATCTTAAAAGTTGAAAGTTAAAAGCTCATCTTAGCTCTAGAAGCACAGTCAAGCACAAGGACCACCATTTAGGTTAAACGCAATATATTCCGACATCTTAGGTAATTCCAACACTTGCAATTTTTTTCCTTTATATTAAGCTTTGTCTTAGTTTCACTCATTCATTGATGGTTGAAATTGTGACATCAGTCACGTCAATCGTCATGACATCATACTATTGTGCGCCGTGCCATACTATTGCCAAAACACTAGGTCTGGGCCGCCTGGCAGGAAAATGTTAAGATCCAAAGAGAGACAGTGCACACTGCACATCACCCAGTGAGAACATCAAAAAATGTGTCAAAGTTGATAGTTGACCTTGCTCTACCAAATAGTGATAAACTGTTTGTGTAGAAAGAATAACCTGAATAGGTACTGTCTCTTATACACATCTAGATGTGTATAAGAGACAGATGCTGCACGGCGCAGTTCTANGTGTGGTGTTTTGAGAGTGACGTGAAGCAGTCAGAACTCGAGTTACGCAATACAGTGATATTTTTATAGCCATTCATTTCTTGCTATGTCCTTAATGTGTCGGAATATGCCGCGTTTACCCTAACACTCTTCATATAAACTAAAGGATGTATAAAGGCATAAAGGACTGGTTGCAATAGAACTTGATAGCTAGCTACCCCTACCATTAAGAAATCAAGTTCCTTTTGCAAAAATCTGATATTAGTACACTTGAAAAAAGATTCGACACCTGTAGAATAAGCAAATTTGTGAAGAATAAAGATGGAGAGACTAAGTATCCACCACTTTGTTAACTAAGTGGTGGATACTGGATGTGGATGGAAAGAGTACCATTAACCTCAGGGCTCAGGGCCTCAGGCTGAGTCTGAATAGTTTTTGACCAGGGTTTGCAGGATGCATTGCCAAGATATGGATTTTCAGCCCAAAATGTTGTCATCAGCCATTTTCATGATGCATTGCCAAGTAATTTTTAATAAGAAAATGCTGCTAACAACTTTGATAGTATATCCCTTACTCTCCACGCACTGCAACACTTGCACTCATCACAACTGATTTCTGGACAGCGAACAAGCTTCACTGCATTCTGATCCATATAACGTACTGGAAACCTTACTGTGTGCACTTGCGGTCTATCAGATTTTCAACTATTTTCTAAATAGTTGGTCGAAGACTGGTGGATATCTGAAATGCAATCATTTCCATTCAAATGTTTCAGCAAGATCTTCTGAAGGCGTAAATTTTGCTGCTGATGCATTGCCAAAGATCTTTACAATATTCACCCACTTTCTGCATCCTGGAATTTTTTGAGGGCCATAACCTACCAGCATGAATGAAAATTGGCTATATCATTCATGTCTTGCTCAATTTAAGCTTATGAATTTACTCCATTGCAGTGCTATCACTGCAAGCAATTTGGACACTTTGCTTATAGATGCACAACTCAGCACAAGCAAGATGAGATGTCTGGTCTGCCCTAGGGAACATCACTTCATCCAGAGCAAAAGCAAAGTTCTTTAGTGTGCCAATTGCTGTCAGCCCCACAAAGGCAACTCACCTGCTTGACCTCTCACCTGCATGACCTGATTGACCTCTCTAATTTAAGAGCTGCTGGTGTGCATAGGAGAGGTGTACTGGGCTGGGGTACCACCAGTGACCCACCTCAGGTCAGGTGAGACATGCAGATGTCTGCTGAAGCACATTACAGGTTGAACAGTCTGGGTGGCACTGGCAGGCTTGGTTTATGGTCATATAATCAGATTGTTTCTGATAGATTGAGGGTTGATGATTTTTCCATGTTGGTGAATGCTCATGCTCCATTGCTGGCAATATCTTGTGTTACAGCTCTACCAGCTGATTTCATGGTTCTCTTAATTGTCTTGCTGATTTGCTTTATTTTTCACTGCATCAAGAATCTCCTCTGAAATCCTGCTTGTTGACTTGTGCTGCTATCCAAAAACATTACAGGCCCACTTTGGCTGCCTCAAACTTGTTGGAATCTCCAAATGTTGTTGCATCTGCTGGTTCTACTGTTGTTACTTCTGCTGATTATCCTGCCATTTCTTTTTTAAATTGTGCTATTGTTTTTTATGTAAATTGTGCTGTTGCTTCTTCTGCTAACCTTGCTGCTGTGTCTTCTTCTGATTCTGCAGGTGTTGCAAGTCCTGTAACCTCTCCAACACCAGAGGGTCTGTTCAGCTGATGATGAAATTGGGTCTGGCTTTGGTATTGAGAATTTCAAATTGGTCTCAGATTCAGATATGTCTGGTAAAGATGTTGTGTCTGGTAAAGAGTAATCTAAGTCACATATGTAATCACAGAAAGAAATAGCTCATCCAGCAGCTGATGTCATGTATCTTTCTCTTGTTTGCTACAATGGGAACACAGCAACAGTCTATATGCCCAGTTAACTGAAGTCAAGTTACTCCTCTAGAGCTTGAAGCCAAGTCTCATGTGCCTTAACCCATTAATGCCGAGCGGTTCCATTTGGAACCAGCCGAAAGAAATTGATTCATAATAAAATTGTATGGTCAAATCAATATACTAGTGGATGCGTAGGTTTTATACACATCTTGGACGTGTTCTGGCAACGTTTGGTTCAGCTGCGCCGACTACTCCCTGCTCAGTTAACATTTAAAGATTGTAAGTACCGGGTGTCAGACATTAGGGCTTGACATCATTGCAGAGAAACGTAAGCAGTTCGTTCTAAAAATATATTATTTATAAGTTAGATGCAGAATTTTATCGACAAAGAGAGTACTTTTAATGCTGTATATGGTATTATGTGATTTAATGTTTCCAAAGTCATTTAGATCATGAAATATTTTGCCTGGTTCCAAATGGAACCGCTCGGCAGTAGTGTAAGCATTCCGGTCATATCATTTTCCCAGTAGATTACTTTGTGATATATTGTGTCTGGTAAAGAGTAATCTAAGTCACATATGTAATCACAGAAAGAAATAGCTCATCCAGCAGCTGATGTCATGTATCTTTCTCTCGTTTGCTACAATGGCAACACTGTAACAGTCTATATGCCCATTTGACTGAAGTCAAGTTACTCCTCTATAGCTTGAAGCCAAGTCTCATGTGCCTTAAGGAGGCTTTGGTGAAGGATGCTTATTTGCCAGTATTCTACAGATATCACTGCTTGTGGCATAGTAGAGTAGCTCATGGTGGAGTCAATGTTTGCATTTGGTGGAGGTTTGCATCATAGTGGAGGCGATGTTTGCATTTTTGCCATAAATCCTTGTTCATTTGGCTCTTTGAGCCCTTTTCTCAATTTCTTCAGTGAAAAATAAGAACATCGGCTGATTTTCACTTGTGATTTTTGAAATTTTTTATTTTGAAATTTTTCATTTTGAAAATCACCCATGAAAGTTAAAACAATTGTTTTTTTTTCCAAGATTATAGGAAAATTTTCCCTTATTTTTAAATTTGGCATGCCCATTGCCATTACTACCTATGTCATCCATACAAATCAGGTTGCTCAGTAAAGTTAGAATTTAGATCTGTGCTAATCTAACACAGGATTAGAATTTTCCTCCTTATCAAAAAAGTGGCAAATTTTTTAAACTTTTGGAATTCTATGGCCCAATTTTGGAACTTGATTTATAATTACATTGGAAATAATTTATCTAGTGTGAATCTTGCAGTTCCCAAAACAGTGGCAAAGCTCTAGTCATGGCTTGTGAGGCAAGATTGGAATTTTTTTACTAATGAAAGAAATCTCATGGCTTCAAGGTGATAAATTTAGCATGTTATAGCATAATCTTTTTGTTTTCTTCAATGATGTATTGAGTAGGTATAATATATTGCTGTTAGCAGCTGCCTCATTTATATGATCACAACACACAAGACTGCCAATGAAAATGTTTTGCATGAGAGAGATTTTTTAGGGAGATGCTAGCATAACTGCAACTACAAAAACATTTAAGAAAACTGTTGGAGTGCAGAAGTTCTTGTGGAAAAGTAGGATTGGAGTAATCCTATTTTATAATTTTGTCTAAAATATCATTGCTGTAAAGCCAGCCTTTTTTATTTTATGAGACACTTTTGTTGTTCCAATAGTTATGGTATCAGATTCTCAGAAATTATTGACTAGGTATATATATCTACCTTCCCAAGAGAGGAGGTGATAAGACATCTGCATTTCAAGGTTTCATTTTCTTTCAGACTTGTATTCATATCATTTTTTAATGAAAATCAGATCAATGGTTGGCTTGATATGCCCTGAATCTTATAGTGTAAATATTCTTTTGCTTTTTCACTTAGAAATGTCACTATGTTTATTTATAATGAGCAGTTAGTATCTGAAATAGAACAAGGATGTGAGCTGCAGGACTGAAGCCATGGATCAAGAACATTGTCCCAGTCAGTCGAGTTCAGTGCCTCAGAGGCGGAATGAGGTCATACATGGAAGACATATCAGTCACAAAGACAAAGATGCCCTTTGTCAAGCCAACATCAGTGCAGGTGATGTCACAGTTGAAGAGTACGCTCCAAGCACGTCTGAGTCCGAAGGCTCTTCTGGCGGTCGCAGAGCAAGTGCTGGTGATGCTCTGAACATCCCTTACATGAAGCACTTCCATTACCTCAAGCAGAAGTTTCCTGATCTCAAAGACTGTGATATAAATGAGAGTATTCAAAAGGTGAGATGAATTAATGAAGTACGCACTTTAGGTTATTCCAATTTTCTATTACTTAGTAATACATTAAAAAATTTAGTATTCAATTAATGTGAGGTGTATCTTATTTTAGGTGCTGATTGTACAAAAATACTTGTTAGAAATTGCACAATTTTAATCAATGCTATAAAATTTGTTCCCAAAACATGCCCTTTAATCTTGTCTAAAACTTTTTACAATTTTTTTAGTTGAAATTTCTACAATAATTTACTGTATACTTGTTTAACCTTTTTTCAGTTTGGGTTGGACCGTGCCCGCTGTGAGGAAGAGCTGCTGCTACGAGCACAAAGTTATTTGAGTGGGTACTATGGTCCCTGGGGGCGCACAGCCTGCATGTCCAGCCGATCATCACCCACTGCCACTCATGGTGCTTCTCACACTATACCCAACACTCCAAACCTGTCTCCATATGCATCATTCTCATCTCAAGCTCCACCTCCTGCTTCATCAATGGCATCATCAAGAAGCATGCCTAAATTGTCCTCACTAAATGCCCCTAGTAATTTTACTGGTGACATAGGTAGTGTCATTCCTCCATCTCGGTCACCTCGCACTCCTGTGGCTGCTCCAAGCCTCGTATCCTCTTCCACTTTCTCTCCTACTCTCACTCCATGTTTTGCCACTACAGCAGGCCCTGCACAATTCACTCCTTCATCACCAACAATGAGCAGAAAAAATGATTATGAAAATCATACTCTATGTTCTAGTTCCACATTACTTAATGGAGCTTGTATGTCTCAAGTTTCTTCTTCACAGGGTGGATCTTTTCATACCACAACCACAAAGCATTTTGTGGTACCTGCGCATCTAAATCCAAATGATCCTTTCTTTAGGCAGTATTCTACATCATCTGAGACCATTACTGAAGAGTCTTCCTTGATGGGCTCAAATTTTCCTTCCCCAGCTCCGACTTTAACGCTGTCATCTCCTCAATCTCCTCTGGTTTCACCTCCTCGTAATCACCATGTAGAAATGCCTCACCTTAGGCAACGCATTGAGGATCTTTTCATTCCACAAACTGGCCAAAACCAGCTAAATTTTCCTAACTCTAATCCCTTTCAGCTGAATTGGGAGCAGAAAAACAATCAAAATTTCAATATTAAAGCTGTCTCAAATCAACATTGTTCTACCCAAGGGCCCAATGTTCAGTTATATCCATTTTCTATGCAGAATATAAATAACTGTCCTCAAGGATTACCTGCTCAATTTGGGAACGTGAATGTCAGTCCCAGTAGAGACTTCAATCGTGTTATTTCAAGCACTGGCCAAGGAGCCGAATTTTCTAGTCCTGGTGATAAGCCTGAAGCGCCTATACAACCTTTTGATACTTCAGACTTGAGAAGACATGGGCCAAGTCTTCATGGCCGCTTTGAGCCCGTGAGAATTGCGCCTCCACCTCCCGTAATTACGAATGTAACTCCAGCTCGACAAAATGCCAGACCCGGCCGACTACAGCTCAATAGTGTCTCTCCACCGTCGTCTTCTGTGCCTCCACTACCTCAGACTTCATCCCCTGCTGGTGCTGCATTGCCTTGCGATCCTTCACCTGGCAAAATCAACAACAGAAAAGGTATGAAGCATGTGGCTTCTTTACAGTTTGTTCCCTCGCCTCCTCACAATGCTCATCTCGTTGCATGTCCTCCCAATAAAGGCAGTGTAGATCTCAGTGATAGATCTTACACATCAGTTAATCTCAAACTACGCCAGCCTTCCTCTGAACCTCAGCCTGCTATTGATATCAAGGGCTCAGGTTCATGCTTAACCTATTCCACTTCTTCGCTTGACAGGAGACAAGGCTCCAGGTCTTCTTTACAGATATCTATCGGTCCATCAGGTGGTTCTATATCCGCCATGAGGACGAATCTTTCAACGGAGCTGGAGAAAGGAAACACAGCATTCCATATTTTATATAGGGCTGAAGACAGGCCTGAACCAACGCCTTCCTCTGGTACTGTAGAGATTTCGTCTCAAGCGGCGCCTTTTCAAGCTCCTGGCGCTGATATGAACAAATCTTCTCCAACAAAGCCTGTCGTGCCGAGTCCCCTCCCACCACACGGCTTATTTGCTAATCAAATTAACAATGATCCGTTTGAGTTTACAGATCAGACCGCGTTCAGTCAACCGGTATGTGATAGGCGTTCACACGAACGATCTCGCAAATATTCCAACCACAGAGATCGGCACAGCTCGTACATAGAAAGCACCGATCTAGACCCACAAATTTCCTCTGCTCGAAAGGAAGCAAATAGATTACCTCCCAGTGCAGCAGGATTGGTACGTGGTTCTCCGGTATTATTCATGCGAGAACAGCCCCGCCCACACTATGACAGAAGCCCGATTGTCCAGGACCGGTTAATGCGGTTACCGGACATTCGCAGCAGCAGCAGAGATCGACGTCCGCAGAGTTGGTACGCTGCTCCTGCTCCTGTGCACGCTCAGGAGTGTGCTGCCGCCTCCTATACTAGTAGTCGAAGCAAGCCTAACCCTCGACGCTACTCCATGCCTGATGGTGACCAGTTTACCTATTTTAATCATGCTGATGGACGGAGCTATGAGCAGCAGTGGGCACTCCAGCATGGCTGGTACGACGCTCAGAGGTTGCCCACATCTCATGACCAGTTGCCGCCTGCTGATGAGTGGTCCTCTTGTGAGAGGATCTATGTGCAAGGTTTATTGCCGTTTTTCTTCCTGGGTGGTGTTCATGTGTGTAAACTCTAACATAGTCTTGGTAATTTTCCTTAGGGTAGACACCAGCTTTCTGGCGATTTTTTCTGTGCGTGAAACTATCAAGCAAATGACTGACTCGGATTAGAGCTCGTAACGATTTTCATCTCGTGAACTTAACCGGACTCGCGTACTCATTTAATTGCGTATAAGATCAAACAAGTGAAATATTCACTGCTTCGAAAATTTTTTCTAAACGCGAGTTATGCCGACTAACTTTTCTTATTATGTGTTAACCTCACAACTCTGGGCAATCTAATGATACATTAAGAAATATAAGTTGTGTTTTTGTGTGCCCAACTTTGAATCGTCTTCCATTATTTGTATATTCGTCTTGTTATTATTTGATTGCTATGCTTAAGAACATCGTTTGAATAACCGTAACCGCGTTATGGATGTCATGTGCTACAAAACTTAGGTTGAATGGAATATATGGCAAATTTTACTAAGTATTTCATTGTTAACAATAGCTAACTCGTAGATGTGTTCTCTGTTCTGTTCTGTTGTTTTTGCTTCATGATAATGGCGCAGCTCATTTGTCCCAGCTTTTTCGTGTCTCATCACCATCAATATTTTACTTCTCTAATAATTGCGGATTGATCTGTTTGTAAATAACCAATCTATGAAGTTGTATGACAGCTTTCCTTGTACGTAATAATTTAATATTAATTCTAAAGAAAATAAACTCCCACGATCAGGCAGATATTTGTGTAGTTCCTTCAAACACATAGAAAGCATTTACGTCGCAATATATTCTTCGTAAACACACATAAATCATAAGCTTCTTAAGCTAAATTAAAACGTCACTGAACCGATTAGTTCTTCTTCCACTGGCAATCATTACAGTAATTTGTCTATAAAATAACCAAATCATCGATAGTTCAATTCGATAATTCGAATAAAATAACCAAAATAAACTCGATACTCGATAGATCAATTCGACACAGCCGACAAATCTGAGTCCACATTATAACTTTGATTCCTGCCCAGGCTTGCTTGCTGACCAGAGAGCGCGGCAGCAGAAGATGTTGTCTGTACTGCAGGAGGGCACGAAGAACAGGTCTGATCTACAGCAGGAGATCTCGCTGCTCACGCAGGCGCTCGAAGAGTGCAAACAGAGAGGCGATCTGGAAGTTAATGAGAGCTCCAGAGTAAGTTAATTGTAAGAGTTTCTTAGCTTAGCGCACAAGTTCTATTCCATTGTTAGATAAGTAACTTTTTTAAACTTATTGCCAATGTATGTGGTTGAACGTATGTGAATATTCGTGTTGCAAATATCCTAATATCCCGTAAAAATATACCAGAAATATTAACTACGCCAACTGCCATATTTTTTCCTTCTTTGAGTCAGCCAAATAGCGCTTGAGGTGTACTTGAACATTTCATCGCAATTTTCCTTCATTCAAAACTTCAAGGTTTTGACCACGACCTTAAATATTCCCTCTTAACGTCTATTGTGCCGGCATGTTCAGCTCATCCTGGACATACAAGAGGAGAACCGCCGCCTTCAGTCCGAGTGCGACCAGCTCGAAGGAGAGATACTGCAGACTGGCGAAGGTCAGAATGGCTATGTAATATTGTATATAATAAACAGTAATTAGCCAGTGCGATTACAGACTAATTCGATAATCAGACTATCGAACATTTAGTGGAAGGATACGGCGGAATTGACTAATATATTTTCCCAAAAAATTGACTGCCGTTTGGTCTGCGTAAATTTCTGGTGTTCATAAAACCAAATTCAGTTGAGCAAAATTATGCAGTCATTTCCAACGTAATGTTAAGAGGCTTCAGACTTCGTCTAAATCTATCAGTGTTTATTAACTGTCATAAAGTTTCATTCTAAATACTGTAAGCTGAGATACTAAGCTCTACGTTATGTTCATGTCAATATGAGATCTGACAACATAACTGAATGACCTGATCAAATGTTGTAATTCTGCAGTCTAATTTGAGTTAATAATTGGTACCCTAACAGATGTTAAAAACCTTCTTTTCTTTCTAGATTTAATTTCGCTGAACTTGAAAGATTTTACGATGTACCCTGAAAAACTGTACTGACTTTGTGCACAACTTGGGTACCTAATGTGTACCGCAAGTGGTTGGAGGTACTGATTGCCCGGAAAATATGTACTAACTGCGTGCCCAGAAAAGATGTACTACTGTGTGTCCCGATCAAATGCACTAACTGTATATTGTAAGCCAAATCAGTTACAAGGCTTCATAAACCCTCTACCGCCGTACGTCACTCTCATTAACCCTCTACCGCCGTACGCTACAGAAAACATTTTAAAGTTGTTGTACGTGGCGGCAACCATCAGTGCAAGTCATTTTGCGCTCACTACCAACGTATCTTTTTTTGGGTAGTAGGCGTGTGACAATATTGCTCCGGTTACTCATGTCAGGCGGTAGAGGGTTAACAAATTTTCCCCTCACGACAGCCCCGGATTTACTGGAGACCGTATACGTGCCGCCCTCGTCCAGAGAAGGGACCGGCAGCTCCGTGAGTTCTCCGTCGTCTCCGCTGCCTGCTCGGCCACACAACTTCAATAGTGAGCCTATAATGTCCATCTCATTGTGGAGCACGCAAGTATTATGAGTATTATTTCCATAAACTGTGAATAACTCTTCTTTTTAACGCATTTTCTCATTTATGGAAAAAGGCGCTTTTGTGCTCGTCTGTCCGTCTGTCTGTAAGTCCGTCCGTGACCACATTTTTGTCGACGAGAAAATGCGCTCTCTGTCACTCACTGCAGTGAGTACCGAGTTATTTTTTTTTTGTTTGTATGTTTGTCTCAACTTTCGTTAGTAGTTGTGCTTAAAGATCTACCGAGATCTTGAACTTTAGGGAATTTTATGTCAACTGAGTCAAAAATTTTGCTACTAAGCGAAATGTTTCTACTTACTAAGTTGATGATTGTGGGTGACAGGGGGGCTGTCAGTGGGGAGAGGCGTCGAAGGCTCCCCCAGGCTAACCCCCACAAGGGTGGCCCCTCCACCCCCCGTCAGCAGCACCTATCAAGCCCCCACCTCCGCCCTTCATCCGGTCAGAGTGATGATTGTTGTAGCTGACTTCTGAATGTTTGTTACGTATTAACACTTTGGCAATTTGTTTACATTTTATACGACCACTGCGCAATTACATAATATATAATACGCTTATGTATCATAGATAACAATAATGGAATAATCGTTGTTTTCATTTAGTTTTTACAAAAATTCATACTGTATGGTTTTATTAATTCTAGTTCATTGTTGTAAATTTTCCGCTCACTTAAATTTTTATTTAGTTATCTGAGGGTGAAGTTCATCTTACATTGCATTTTTTCCGCATTTTGTCTCGTCTATTATAACCCTATTTAACCATCCTATGTAAATGTAAAGTAGAATATTTTACATTTCAGCCTTCATCGGGACATTACGAATTGGCAAGCGAGGCGTCAACCGCAGAAGGCAGAGCTGGGGCAGGAGCTGTGCGCTGGTCCTGCGGCCGCTGCACCTACGACAACCACCCCGACATGACCTCGTGCGAGATCTGCGGCGCCATCAGGATGCCACCTTCTCCTCAGACGCCCATCGGAGGCTACCATCGTCCTACTTTAGGTATGAACTTGGCGAGCTCCGAGCCTGAGCCTTATGAGTCCAGGAGCCATGAAGGCGAGATGCGAGTCTCTACTGATCGCTGGAACGAGGATGCAAATTTGGGAAGAGATTTGTCGCGCGGTATTGGAACGGATGCACGTTTCGCTGATCAAGGGAAGTTTGCCAGGAATGTGGATGGAATGCGGAATGTTTTGCCAGGTGATGAAGTGGAAGGATGTTTCTCTTGGTGTGGTACTGGTCGTGACTCGGTTGATGGCGGTCCAGATTATGATGCTTATTGTCCTGGAACAAGACATGTGATTGGTTATGACCACGATAACTTGTTTGCAAGAGACGCGCACTGCCGCTCTCGGTCCACCATCAGTGATGGTGAGGACGTCAACACTGCGTCACCTAGACGCACCCAAGTTTCAGTTCCAAAGTTAGAACTTGATCGATTATCCGATCCGGAAACTCGAAGTGCTCTCGCCTGTGACCTGACCAGAGTTAGTCATGTGACTTCAGAAGGAATGTCGTGTTATAATAAGAGCGACATATACAAGAACTCGACTTCTTCAGCCAGAGGATCGCACGATGATCTCGAAACATTCAGTTTCTTCTCGGGCATTTCTCAGGGCAGCTGGAACTCGCCTCGAACTAGAATGTCCATAGGCAGTTGCGCTTCATCTTTAACGTTGTTCAACGCGCATGGTGCCTCATCAGACTGCTTCTGTCATCCTCGTCGAAAAAGCGACTTCGGTCACCGGCGAACGGGCAGCGGAGGAACGAACTTGATGCCTACGGGAAACAACGCAATTTTAAACCACCACAGAATTAGTGGTAGTCTGGGCAGACTTACATTACCATCGAAGGAAAATTTCGCTGCACAGACAGAAGTATTTATGAGCGCTGAGGCGTCAGATAAACAAGGGCAGAACCATACTCACAGTAGCGGCCACAGCAGTAACAGAACGAGCATCGGCAGCAGCGGCGGCGGCAGTCGCAGTTTTGGTTATGATCCGATGCCTCTTGAAGGCTATCCTGCAGCTCTTGCTTCTGCCATGAATGAGCCTGGCGATGCGGAATCCCATTAATTTAATCAAGTCTCATGTAAACTTGTTATTTCCACTGACATATCGCAGCATTGGCATTACTAGCCCTTAATGTTCCCGGAAATTATTTCTTCACTAAAAGGCTTTCATTGTTCAAATTCAGGTTGCTATGTAAAATAATTCTTACTTAATAATAAATGTTTTTTATGTTTCTTATGAACTTATAACAATAGTTTGCGGATATTTTTATTATTTAATCAAGGGTTTCCAAATTTCATAATTCATGAATGTGAAACATCGTATTCTTTTCTTGGCTCAATGACGTTTCAAGTTTCATGTTTTTTTTATGACTGAAATTGCTTGTTTTGAAACAATTTTGGTAAAATGATGCTATCGCTAAACTTTGCTTCTGAACACATTTCCGTTTATTTTCTCAACAAACCTGCTTATTGGAACTTGGAGACAAGGTAAGAGTCTCCGTTTACTTGAAGGAATATTTCTTTTGCTCTAAGTGGCAGATGAGTTAGTATGAACTTTTTTTCCAATGTCATATCTAGCAACCGACTCGTGTCTTTAAGTCTCACGTACAACGCCTCAGCTGCACAGCTCTGCCTCTTGCATGCCTGTCACTCGCAAGTTCTCTTGCGTCTTCATATTTTGTGTGTGTACTCTAGGGGTCTGCGGAAGAAATTTACATTACTTCTCCTTTGAATACTTGACTCGATTCTATTGGTGTGATTTAATTACTTTTTTCTCATTGTATGTTGTAAATTTGGTTCAATAATTTTATTCGTGATTCATTTAATTTGAGTTGAAATAATCGTATGTAACTCAACTTACTCCTGTACATTTCCTGCTCTCTCCATTTCTTGTTCATTTGTAAAACGTACTAGTTCAAATAAGTATTACTATCTATGAAAATTGAATTTTTTCACAATACATCATTTCCATATATGGTACGTTTATGCACAGCTCGGACAAAATTTTTTTCATGCCTTCACTAATCTTATTTTTACCTCACACTCATTTGTTAAATTCTCCATTACATTATTTTTCATCATTCTATACGCATCGAATGTTCATTAAAATTTCAGGTCATAAATTTGGTTGCTATGCAGGACTTGCTGCATTGTGGCCCTTGTTCAATGCGCCGATCCAAGCCAATTTTCGTGGAGCCCCGCGAAAATTCTGAAAAGAAATAATCCTGGGTCTCGCTTCGACGGCAAGTCAGACTGCAAGCTTGTGTTTGTGGCCTTGATTGGTTAAGCCCAAAAGAGACATTTTGGGCTCGCGTCTTTAACTTTTGCTTATATACCGCATCGTGCATTACGCCCAGAAACTTGAATATGAAAATCCGGCGCTTTTTGTTATTTGTTGTTTTCGACCAAAGTTATTGTTTGATTTTTCTGTAACTTCGGCATGTCACTTGGGAACACTTGAGTGCATAGCTGAAAAACAGTTTACGCCTCTAGCTTCCCAACCACGTGGTGAAGTGCTCTAAATTATTGTTTTAAGCTAATTTGACCTGGGCCCTCATTTTCGTCACGAATGATTTTCTTTGTAGAACCCGCATTTAAAAAATTTTTGAAAATCTAACTTTATAGAAGTCTAATAACTTTTTAGACGCTCAACAAATTTTAGCGGTTATATCGATTGAAATTATTGCCTGTGATCTCTTGCATTTATAAAAAGCATTTCGATCAAAATCAAAACGTACGTTTTTCCTCCAAAGCCCTATTAGTCCTGGAAAAAAACACAAAAATTCGCCCAATTCGAGAGGCTCTGGTGGAACCATTAGGTCTAGAGGTCTCGTTCGAATTCCGATTTATAGGGAAGGCATTTAGCTACAATCCTGTAGTCATTTCATTCCGCTGTCCCTGCAACTTTTTGAGTTATAAATCAAAGGTCAACAATAATTTTGAGAAAATTTTCAACCAAATCCTTTTTTACCCGTTTTTTTATTCTGAATTTTTTTGAAAAATTATCGATTGAAGATAAACGGTTGCGTATGGAGGAAAAAGTGCGTTGCTGTTGGTTATTTGTGTTTTGTGTAAAGGTGTATGTGTGTATGTATTTTCGAATACACTCCCGTGTTTATGTTGTGTAGTATCTGATTATTGAAGCTTGCGGGATTTTTTGCAAAATATGTGTATGGGTTGTTTTGAGGCATGCGCGGGCATGTATTCATATTTATGGGTTGTCGTTATGCAGTTGTATATTTTCGATTGTCTTTTTATGTGAATTGCATTTAGTTGTATGTTGTATATAAATGTAGATGGAGGGACGTGTAATGTGTATAGTCATTGGTTTCTGGTTGAATTGTCTCTTGATCCACGATTTAGCAAATCTGCATTCATCTTGGCTGATAGTTGAGAAAAATGTTTAGGGTATTGACGTAATTCTCTTAATTTGCACAGTTACATCATTTCAGAGTAATTATCTTTTGCTGCCGGTAAAGTCCGTTGCCTATATTTAAAATGTTCTGAATCTCTACCAAATGTGGCCATGTCAGCAGTAAAGTGTACCTGCATGTCTTGCTCAGGCCCAACCATGCAGGACATACACATTCAAGTGCGACATCGTCACGACTATGCGATGCCTGCGTCAGCGCGTAAGCGGCGTGCCGTGTTGCCTTACCCAATCATAGTACGCTTCATCTGTCATAGTACGCTTCATCTCTCATAACACTCTCCAACCCCTCATAGTACGCTCCAACCCCTCATAGTATGCTACATTCCTCATAGTACGCTCTACTCCCTTAGTACGCCCGACCCCTTAATAGTACTTCCCTCCTTCACTGCACACCTCCTTTTCACGGTAAACCCACCTCAAATTTCACTCCCCTCCTAGTACACACCTTCATAATACTCCGAATCCCGCTCCACAGTAAACATGTGCTCCTTATCCCCCAATCAACGTCGCTTATTTTGTACATACTCTCGCTACAACCGTCGTAATTTTCCCCTTATTGCTTTATTGAAATAATGCGTGTTTTTTGCGCTTTTATTTTATAGTTGACTTTATTTTGGTCATCTCGATAGAGACGTCCTTCGACTTGAAAAATCTAGATCACCAATGTTAGCAAGCCCCTTCCTGCTTCACAAATTTCACTACCTACACCATGCCTAACTTCTCACAACTTATTTGCTTGACACCTACAATTTTCAGGCCTAACACAATACATAAAATTATTTCACACTACTTTACTGCCGCAACATTTCCTGCTGGTGGCCCGATGAATTTGGCTGCATTTTTCAGCTTGGTTAGGAGTGTCGCTTACTTACTGAAGAAATTTCACCCTATCGTATTTCAAGTGTGATTTCACCCTGTCGTATTTCAAGTGTGAATTCACCCTGTCGTATTTCAAGTGTGATTTCACCCTGTCATATTTCAAGTGTGATTTCACCCTATCGTATTTCAAGTGTGAATTCACCCTGCCGTATTTCAAGTGTGAATTCACCCTGTCGTATTTCAAGTGTGATTTCACCCGGTCATATTTCAAGTGAGGTTTCACCCTGTCGTACTTCAAGTGTGATTCTGCCCTTTTGTATTTCAAGTTTGATTATTTCCTCTTGTATTTAGATTGTGATAGCTTGAAGTCTTCACATGGCTTAGCAAAAAGGGAGTTATAGATTAACACCTTATCACTAAAGTTACCTCCCCCCAGGAGATTACAAAGGTTAAGTTCTACATTGATGCTTCTCAAGTTACTTAGTAGCTCCTGTCTTGGTCGCACATGACGTTGACAGTCCAATTCAGACACTGGTCCCAGCCAGACTGCGACCCTGCGCATAAAATGGAAACGGAAAGCTTAAAATATTAAAAATAAAATCGTTAAAAATTATAAAAAAATTCATCGATATCGTGGTGATAAGTGAGGTGCTAAATTCAGTTAATTAAATGTAAAATGAGAGTTCAATTCAAATTAATGCCCTTTCAAGGCATTAATTGAAGTTATCGTGACCTAAAATGAAATCAGTGCAAAAAAAAAAAAAACAGTCACCCTTTCAGAAATAAAAACAATTTTCAGATTTTTTTAGGACCCGTGTATATATATATATGACAAATAACTGATCATGTGCACATGTCGAATAAGTGATCACTCGCACGTGGCGAATAATTGATCGTATGTGTGTGGCGAATAACTAATCGTGTGCATGTGGCGATTAGGTGATCTCTCACACGTGGCGAATAAGTGATCGCTTGCCCATGGCGAATAATTAATCGTATGCATATGGCAAATAATTAATCGTGTGCAGGTGGCGAATAACTGATCGGTTGCATGTGACGAACAAGTGATCGGTCGCATGTGACGAATAAGTGCTTGTTTTCTTGTGACGAAAAAATGACCTGTATGATTGATATAGCCTGCATGTGACTGATCGTTTGCATCTGGTGAATGTCGTGGCAAACAGTGCTCTTTTCTTTACATGAATTTAGAACACATTTTAAAAATCCTGTATAGCACATCCAATCATTTTAATCAACGTGGAAACTATTTAGCCCTCTTTTCGATTAATAGGTAATGCATTTAGATGAAATTTTATTCTAGCTTTTATCTATCCGACTCACAGTCGGACTCACAGAGTCGGACTCCTCAGTCGGACTCACAGAGCATTAATTAGTGTTAAAAGGAAAGCAGTAATGAAGGTTTGGTCAGTGCATTTAACTCGTTCGATGTTTTATGGAAATTGCGACAAATTCTGCATGAATTCCAAAATTCCAAATTGTCACATGCAAAGTCAATTCTACTTTAGATTAAGAAATGACGGATTCGTTGCAACTTGTCATATGAACTAAGCACTTAAATCAAAGAAAACGCCAAAAATTTCATTTTGTCTGCAGTGAAAACTTATCGGAGTCCAGCTCCATCATCAGCACAAAAACTTCATTAATACAATTTTGACCAAAATAGGACATACAAATTACCTAAGTAATGCAAACCCTATTGCATAGGTTTTAACGGTTTCAAGTGGATACGAACTCATAACATCGTTTACTCAGGTGACGTCATACTTCAAAGAAGGTGAGAGAGTACCACGGGTAGCTATCGCTATAAAAGTTTCACCACGATGGTATGCTGCTAATCCATCCCCCGCAGCTATTTATAACCGTCCAATTGTCAAACTCCGAAGAACTCCGACAAGGAGCTGAAAATTTTCTAAACATGTTAAAACGCAAGCTAACACATCCAACAAACTTCTTGGACTAATCAGACGCTCATACGAGTTCCTAGATGCAGAAACGATGAAGCAGTTGTTTGTTGCCGTCGTACGCCCGAGTCTAGAGTTTAGAAACGTTGTGTGGTCACCGAGATTCGAAAAGNGACACAGCCTAATAAACTACCAACAATGATGAATCATCTTACTTGAAGTTGACATCAGTAAAAGTCAATTTTAGAGTTCAAACAGTATATTACCTTGGTTAACAAAGGCTCTAAGCCTCCAGTCAACAAAAAATTGATTAACAACAAAGAATTTTAATTAAATTTACCTTACTTGGCAAAAAAAAAAACTTGCTTAACAAAAAATTAGTGCACCATTGGTCATCACAAAATTATGCATAGAATGTCATAGGTGGAATTGTGCACTGGGCAACATAGAATGAAAAGTAATTAACCCAAACTATGATGTAGGTATTTGTCTAAAAAATATCATGATTGTCATTAAAATAGTCCTCTCTTTTTCAGGTATGTTTTTTATGATTTTTTTATTACAACACTTCTCTTTAACTTCACTTCTTGTTGTTTGTTTGTCTGCTACAAATCTTATTGTCAATATTTAACACACTTCTACCTCTCCAATCGATCTGAAATTTTGCACACTTGCATAAAGTTGGAGACAATGCTTGAATCAATTGACACAATAAATAATTTGAAGAATTTATTTTTTTGATAGAATTCATTGTACATGTGTAGAAATTGTACAGAATGAAATTCATTGTACATGTGTAACATTAGAGACACTGGCCTTTTTAGAAGTGTTGCCTTTAAAAAGTAATTTTTAAACTCGTTATTTTGTTGTAGTGAATTTTTTGACCCAAATAAAACTGTTCAAAATTACAATCCCATTCCTGTAAGCTTACAGATACATAAGAAATGCCATATGGCTGTTGATGTGAAGCTTGCAGTGGACATGCCGACAAGGTGGATGTTAATAATCACTGGCATGTCCATCAGTCTCCTCCACCATATAAGTTGGAAAGGGAGGCAAAATCAAAAGAATAATCACAACCTAAAAATCACGGTACGAGTCGGTAATGTTTGATTCTGATACATGCATTTTTTTAGAATTGATTTCAAGACTTCAAGTATGAAGACTCAGCATAGTGGCAAACCACAGATTTTTAGAATCAGTTCATTTATAATTTTCTCATTTACTCAATATTTGAACCAATTTCTTATGTATGATAATGCTGGTATCAATGAAACTTTACTGATCTACTTACATTACTCAAAATTGAACTTGAGAAGGGTTTAAAAACCTCTGGTTTGCCATGAGATCACACCTCCTACTCTGAGCAGTGAGCACAACTTGATTTTTATCTGAGCCTTTTATCTCTTGCCACCAGTTGTTTCACAGTTGAATTTCTCACTCACTCTCACTGATACATGCATGTAGAAAGTTTCAGTGAGCTTACACTTCTTCTTCTTTTTGGAATGTCCATGCAGGGTAGACTTAAAGCCACAGGACAACCACAAGGATGACTGGGGGGCCTGAGAGCTTGTGTAGTTTTGGACCTCTTGGCATCATTTGGCATGGAGGTCAGACCACTTTATTTTTGCTTATAAAAAGTCAGTGGATGCAATGGCTGAGCGTGACAGCAAGCAAAAGAAAAGCAATACATGGCATGAAAAAATATCAGAAAGCAAGGACCATTCCTCATTAAAACTCAGCACAGCATTTGGCCACAAAATTACGTGGACTAACATAAGTACGAATTGTACGACAACTTAGATCATACATCCATCGTATTCATAGGTAGGGTAAATGCGGTATATTACGACATCATGGGTAATTCCGACACTTCTCAACTTTTTTCCTTTATATTAAGCTTTGTCTTAGTTCCACACATTTGTTGATGGTTGAAATAGTGACGTCATACTATTGCGCGCCATAGTATTGCCAAAACACTAGGTCTGGGCCATCTGGCGGGAAAATGTTGAGACCCAAAGAGAGACAGTGCGTGTCACCCAGTGAGAACATCGAAAAATGTGTCAAAGTTGATAGTTGACCTTGCTCTACCAAATAGTGATAAACTGTTTGTGTAAAAAGAATATTATGGTTTGAGACTTTTAAATAAGTCTGTGAATATATTAGGAATCCTTTAAGTGTACTTGTATTTGCTTATTTCAAGTGTTTGGTTAAAAATAATGCCAGTTTTATTGAGGACATCTTTTGAGTTTAATCTCTCAAGCTTTCTGATAAGAGGTACAGTAACAGGGTCAATAAGTCTTAAAATTTATCCAAATGGAAGGTTAGGTAAATCCTGCGACGCCTTTCGCTCATCACTGAGCATCTTCAGGCAACGAGGTCGAGCAGCTGAGTAGACGAGTTGCTTGCGGGTTGGCTGCAGAGAGAAGACTNGTGTTTATGTTGTATAGTATCTGATTATTGAAGCTTGCGGGATTTTTTGCAAAATATGTGTATGGGTTGTTTTGAGGCATGCGCGGGCATGTATTCATATTTATGGGTTGTCGTTATGCAGTTGTATAGTTTCGATTGTCTTTTTATGTGAATTGCATTTAGTTGTATGTTGTATATAAATGTAGATGGAGGGACGTGTAATGTGTATAGTCATTGGTTTCTGGTTGAATTGTCTCTTGATCCACGATTTAGCAAATCTGCATTCATCTTGGCTGATAGTTGAGAAAAATGTTGAGGGTATTTACGTAATTCTCCTAATTTGCACTGTTACATCATTTCAGAGTAATTATGTTGTGCTGCCGTTGAAGTTCGTTGGCTATATTTAAAATGCTCTGAATCTTTACCAAATGTGACCATGTCAGCAGTAAAGTGCACCTGCATTTGTCTTGCTCAGGCCCAACCATGCAGGACATACACATTCAAGTGCGACATCGCCACGACTATGCCATGCCTGCGTCAGCGCGTAAGCGGCGTGTCGTGTTGCCTTACTCAATCATAGTACGATTCATCCCTCATAGTACGCTTCATCTCTCATAGTACGCTTTATCTCTCATAGTACATCCCTCCTTAAGAGCACACCTCTCTCAAAATATACGCTTCCTTCACTACACACCTCCTTTTCACGGTAAACCCACCTCAAATTACACTCCCCTCCAAGTACACACCTTCATGATACTCCGAATCCCGCTTCACAGTAAACATGTGCTCCTTATCCCCAATCAACGTCGCTCATTTTGTACATACTCTCGCTACAACCGTCGTAATTTTCCCCTTATTGCTTTATTGAAATAATGCGTGTTTTTTGCGCTTTTATTTTATAGTTGACTTTATTTTGGTCATCTCGATAGAGACGTCCTTCGACTTGAAAAATCTAGATCACCAATGTTAGCAAGCCCCTTCCTGCTTCACAAATTTCACTACCTACACCATGCCTAACTTCTCACAACTTATTTGCTTGACACCTACAATTTTCAGGCCTAACACAATACATAAAATTATTTCACACTACTTTACTGCCGCAACATTTCCTGCTGGTGGCCCGATGAATTTGGCTGCATTTTTCAGCTTGGTTAGGAGTGTCGCTTACTTACTGAAGAAATTTCACCCTATCGTATTTCAAGTGTGATTTCACCCTGTCGTATTTCAAGTGTGAATTCACCCTGTCGTATTTCAAGTGTGATTTCACCCTGTCATATTTCAAGTGTGATTTCACCCTATCGTATTTCAAGTGTGAATTCACCCTGCCGTATTTCAAGTGTGAATTCACCCTGTCGTATTTCAAGTGTGATTTCACCCGGTCATATTTCAAGTGAGGTTTCACCCTGTCGTACTTCAAGTGTGATTCTGCCCTTTTGTATTTCAAGTTTGATTATTTCCTCTTGTATTTAGATTGTGATAGCTTGAAGTCTTCACATGGCTTAGCAAAAAGTGAGTTATAGATTAGATTAGCTTTTATTTCAGTGGGTTACTCTGAGGCGTGTCTTTGCTCGTCAGAAGTCCAATGGTATTTCGAGTTCCTAAGAGCATTGTTACTAAGCGCTCCACTATAGAGCTCGTGGTATCTGACCACGGGTCTGGGTTTTTGGGTTAAGCTATCATATAGGCAGGATTACTTGTATTTTACTGTTTCTCTGGCGCGGGCGATCGACGTTTCGTGTAAGCGACGTCATGTTCGAGTGTCTTCGTTGCTGTTCACCTGCCGCTGCTTGTCACTTCGATTCTTTGAGATGCTAACGTTGCTTCGTTCCAGCCAGCTTTCCTTGAGACTTTCTGCGCCTTGTGGAAACGATTAGTTATGAGTTATGAACGATTTTTGATCTGAGAAACTTATGATAACTGAGACCTTTCACCTCGTTGGTGATGTTCATCTTGACTTCCGGTACGAGATAGCTAAATAGCTGAAGCGCTAGTAAACATGTGGCCACTAAACTAAAACTTAGCTTTAATTGAAAAATTTGTTTGGTTTCTCTGTCATCCTTGCTGAATTGCATTCGCTTAGCTTTTTTTGCAAAAGGAATAAGGATTGGCGTTTAAATCATTTACTTTTATAATATTAGTGCCAACCCAATTATGTCATAACACATACTCTTCGTTTCTTTCTTTGTAAAGATTCTAACTGGAATTATTTTTATATACCTTACAAATACTTTGGAAATTTTCCTACCCTTTAACGTGAACGTCTTTTTGATTTTATTTATGAAGCAATGCATACTTCCTCTTCGGACTGTGTTGAAAATTGATTTGATATGCATGCATGTTTCTTGCTTCACTAACGCGAGTTCCTACACCATCTTTGCCTCTTGCTCAGATTTACTAATTTTTTTTTTTCAAATAAAAGCTACATTTAAACGGTCGATCTATGGTAACCAGGCGTTGCTGTATTGATGACGCGAAGAAGGGGCTTTAACGTCGTGTAGAAATCAACAATTATACCCATTCATTTGCCCGAAATGTTTTTTTTTACTGCAAACATGGAGGAACTTAGGGAAAGCTGTCACCTAGTAGCAATCCCATAGCATGTGCATGCCACCCACATTTATAGATCTGTTCCACGACTCAGGTATGTAGGTGTAGAATATTCTGTTCAGATGTTATTCAATGACTTGGGTATATTACAGCGAACAGCATGCAGTTATTAACTATTATTAGCTACGGTACAACATCCTGTCGGGCAGGTTCGTATCAGTATCACTGTATCAGCCATTGTAATAGTACATTAAATGACATAACTGAGTAGTGCAAGCGTATTTCTGTTATAAGATGAACAGAATTGGTTAACTTTACTGTACTTCACAAAGCTGATAATATTCATTTTGAGCTATTCCGTGGAACCGACTACAACTTTGATGTAATTACATTGTTGAAGTTAACTTCACTGCAATGGCAATTTTTGGCCGCTACTATCGATCCCAGGCATGTTGTTCGCTTCTTGTTGAGCACTGCAGCTCGTGCTGAGCGACACATCAAAGTTAAATGAACCGCTTTTCCATTTCTTTGCGAAAAGGCCCTGAACGACCTTAAACTAAGTTTGTTAATTGAAGCTAATGCTAAGAAGTGCGGTAAACAGCGCTAAACTAGAGGGCATTAACATTGCATTCATTTACATTTGTTTCTTTGCAGTGTCAGAATTATCGAGCCGAGCCGACCCCCTGTGACGCCTTCTTATGGACTGTCTTTGCTGCACGGCAACTAACGCCTCACCCGCGTCTGCCATCTCTCACCCATCACACTTCACGCCAAAACTATGTAATCCAATTAAGGATTACTAGAACTTCGCCTCATAAAGCAAATCTTTTCTCACCGTCTATGGCACGTTGACTGCTACTCTTATTTTTCCTACTCTTTTGACCGAAATTCTTTGTCGAATTCATTGATCACACCTGCGCTGGTCATAAGCAGCAGCAACAGAACGAAATAAGTTTTTCCAAGTTGAAAAATTTTCTTATTTATCGACCTGCTTGATGGCTTGCAGGCAGGTAAACTGAAGACAGCTCAGAATTACGTTGAAGTTTCCCGTTTTGTTTATTTTTACGTTGCTATTCTCCTCGCGCTGTGCCAAGTTCTCCAGCTTCCACGAGTTCAGGCATATAACTTATTTGACAGTCTACCAGTTTTTATATTGAACAACTCTCCATGTATGCGTGCGGACTAACCTCGTCATTTGTTGCTGATAGAAAACTGTATTTTAAATAATGAAGAAATGTGAAGTAAGCTTTACATTGATTGTTGGTAAAGATAATGCAATGCATAATTGAATGAACAAGTCAAACGCGGGTTTTCTTAAAACGTACTATTCACGTTTGTAATAATTTATTTATCAATGATTATAGTATTAGGCAATAAGCTTGTCACAATGTGCAGCAACGTGGCCTCGGTATTGGTGCGAGGAAGCATGTGATTTTCATTTGTACATTTTTCATGATTTCATATCGTTTACTTGGATAAAGTTTTTTAGATGTGGTGGAATAAATTGATTTGATTCCGTCTTGCGATGCTATGTGATTTTTAATCATACAGAAACTGATGACGTTACATAGTTACTCTGCGTCTTCTTATGATGCGTGTCGCATTTAAATGTACTCGACGAGTGTGTCACAACAAAGCACATATTTCGCGTTGTATTTTTACGGCAAACATAATAAGCATTTGTTGCTTTACCGGCTCGTCATTAACATATTATGTTATGAACTTGAAAGTTCATTCTAATAGTTCCTCTATTCTTTTTATCAGACGCATGTTTTTCACTAATTTCTCGAGAGGTTTCAGCAGATGCCGCGGTGCTCCGAAAGATTTCGATTTTTTCATGTAAGAAAATCATATCAATCGATAACAATGTCTCTTCGAGTCATTTTACTTTAATTTTATTATAACTTTCCTCATCGCCATCACCATATAACTGAGTTCGTCAACTCACCAAGGCAGCTATCGATTCATTTTATACATATGTTATGTATTGATTTTGTTTATTAATGTAGTTGCCTGACGCGACCTACAAGGCTTTCAGGAACGCTTCGTGTGTTCAGCATTCCAATCAGAGGCTAGGCAGACGCGCAGTAGCTGCGCGGTCAGTCTTGTGCTTGAACAAATTCGAATGATTCATTATGTAACTAAACGATCATTCAATGTCACATACGTTGAAAATGCCTAATTAGAAATTGTTATTAGAGAAATATAATAAATGGTTTACTACATCTCTGTAGTTTCAATCCATCAATGAATGTTAGGGAATGGAAATTTGTGATGTAAAAACGATTGTATAATGTCTTGTACAAAGATGAATGTTAAGGAACGAATTGCATAACTTAGAACAAACTTGAATTTTGGAAAATTTAAACAAAATGGCGAACTGAATTGATCTCAGCCATCGACTTATGAATTGGACTGGCAGGTAGTGAGGAATGAGGACTGAATGAATAACCATAATATCTATTAATAATAGTAATAACTCGACTTATATTATCAACTTAGGCAGTTAATACGTAAACAAATCTGAACAATATTAAACATGAAGACAATAAGATGAAACAGTCTCAGGGCTAATGCACTTCAGTAGACGTGTACCATGCCGTACAAGAAGGTCCAGAAAAGCACGTAGGTGAAGAGTCCTGAAGTTAAGCCGGACGTGAGAAGGTTCTTTCTGCTGACGAAGAACTGCTGCCACTGACTCCCTGCCTTGATCAGCAGCAGCAGCCACAACACGAAGCCCGCCAGTAGAAAGAATATGAAGCCATGTAAACTCGTCAGTCCCAGTATGCCTGCAAGGGGACAAGCAATAGAGGCACACTTAGTTAATATGGAAATACGTAAGCATAATGATCTGCCACCACTTGTGCAGAGGTCATTTGACTGATCAAGAAAATGTAAAGATAAGGAATAAATATTTCTGTAGGCTGAGGTAAGAGCAAGCAAATATGATATAGTTGTATGAAAAAATTTCATTAGAATGATAATTTCTATATCATTAGTTCCCATAAGTAAAGATGAGCATTTAAGATTTAAATAATTAGAGTAAAGTATATTTTTTATGATCACTTGCCAAAATTGAGATAACATTAAGAAATCTTCCAACAAATCAAGGCAAGATTAATGTCCATTTACAAAATTTTACTCCTCCATTAATTTGCTTCTCATTTTTTAGTTAGACATGTGAATATTTTTGAAATACATGCATAGTGTCTATATAGGTACCTATATCACTGTCTTCTATGAAGCTTACCTGAAGTAGCCCCAGAAAGAGCAGCCATAGAAGTCCTGCAATATTCGATGATGGCAGAATTATTCCTGATTGCACCCTCACTGTAAGCTATTCTGTCACCCGACGCCTTGTCAACTCTCGTCCTCAAGCGTCCTGACATATTTTTACAGTGTGCTGGGGCTTTGACTGCAGCAACTTAGTAAATCTACTTTCTTCAAGATTTTAGTATTCAAAAGAGTATTTAGTATTTATTTGAATGTATATTACTATAAAATTTAAGAATATAATAAGAAATCTAAAAAGAAATCTGAATACAGTACTCAAAGTTATTAGATATTATTCAATCAAAAAATAACACGACAAGTCTTCATTTTGTTTAATAAAATCTGGTAAAAAAATTGGGATTTTTATTTATATTAACTTTCTTTCACTAATTTACTACACTTGGTTATTGTTATAGAAATTATATATACGGGTAAAGATAAATCTTCCTATCCCAACAACTAGTGTGACATATGAAAAGCTCAGAGGCCAGTGAGGAGATGAACTTGTGAACCATACTTGAGAGTTGAGATCACAGTGAGAGAAAAGTTTCTAATGTATTGCAACAAGACATAAAATTAGAGAACTCAGCCTTGCATTATCAAAGAAGTAATTACTTTAACACATTTAAATAGATGGTTCTGTTATTTTGCAATGTTTCACTTTAAATGCATAACTTCAGACATTCATTGGGTCTTGTTAGTTGTTAGTTGCAACTGATCCATCATCCATCATTCCTTGAAAATCTTTGATGTGATGAAAACCTCACATGAGAGCCAAAAAATTCCACAACGGAATTTATATTTCAAATGTTCCTCAGATTAAAGAAGAAAATAATAATTTTGTTTCTTGAGACACAGCCTAATAAACTACCAACAATGATGAATCATCTTACTTAAAGTTGACATCAGTAGAAGTCAATTTTAGAGTTCAAACAGTATATTACCTTGGTTAACAAAGGCTCCAAGCCTCCAGTCAACAAATAAATTGATTAACAACAAAGAATTTTAATTAAATTTACCTCACTTGGCAAAAAAAAAACTTGCTTATCAAAAAATTAGTGCACCATTGGTCATCACAAAATTATGCATAGAATGTCATAGGTAGAATTGTGCACCGGGCAACATAGAATGAAAAGTAATTAACCCAAACTATGATGTATTTGTCTAAAAAATATTATGATTGTCATTAAAATAGTCCTCTCTTTTTCAGGTATGTTTTTTATGATTTTTTTATTACAACACTTCTCTTTAACTTCACTTCTTGTTGTTTGAGTACGAGTCGGTAATGTTTGATTCTGATACATGCATTTTTTTTAGAATTGATTTTAAGACTTCAAGTATGAAGACTCAGCATAGTGGCAAACCACAGATTTCTAGAATCAGTTCATTTATAATTTTCTCATTTACTCAATATTTGAACCAATTTCTTATGTATGATAATGCTGGTATCAAAGAAACTTTACTGATCTACTTATATTACTCAAAATTGAACATGAGGGAGAGTTTAAAAACCTCTGGTTTGCCATGAGATCACACCTCCTACTCTGAGCAGTGAGCACAACTTGATTTTTTTCTGAGTCTTTTATCTCTTGCCACAAGTTGTTTCACAGTTGAATTTCTCACTCACTCTCACTGATATATGCATGTACAAAGTTTCAGTGAGCTTACACTTCTTCTTCTTCTTTTTGGAATGTCCATGCAGGGTAGACTTAAAGCCACAGGACAACCACAAGGATGACTGTGGGGCCTGAGAGCTTGTGTAGTTTTGGACCTCTTGGCATCATTTGGCATGGAGGTCAGACCACTTTATTTTTGCTTATAAAAAGTCAGTGGATGCAATGGCTGAGCGTGAGAGCAAGCAAAAGAAAATCAATACATGGCATGAAAAAATATCAGAAAGCAAGGACCATTCCTCATTAAAACTCAGCACAGCATTTGGCCACAAAATTACGTGGACTAACATAAGTACGAATTGTACGACAACTTAGATCATACATCCATCGTATTCATAGGTAGGGTAAATGCGGTATATTACGACATCATGGGTAATTCCGACACTTCTCAACTTTTTTCCTTTATATTAAGCTTTGTCTTAGTTCCACACATTTGTTGATGGTTGAAATAGTGACGTCATACTATTGCGCGCCATAGTATTGCCAAAACACTAGGTCTGGGCCATCTGGCGGGAAAATGTTGAGACCCAAAGAGAGACAGTGCGTGTCACCCAGTGAGAACATCGAAAAATGTGTCAAAGTTGATAGTTGACCTTGCTCTACCAAATAGTGATAAACTGTTTGTGTAAAAAAAATATTATGGTTTGAGACTTTTAAATAAGTCTGTGAATATATTAGGAATCCTTCAAGTATACTTGTATTTACTGATTTTAAGTGTTTGGTTAAAAATAACGCCAGTTTTATTGAGGACATCTTTTGAGTTTAATCTCTCAAGCTTTCTGATAAGAGGTACAGTAACAGGGTCAATAAGTCTTAAAATTTGTCCAAATGGAAGGTTAGGTAAATCCTGCGACGCCTTTCGCTCATCACTGAGCATCTTCAGACAATGAGATCGAGCAGCTGAGTAGACAAATTTTAAGACTTATTGACCCTTTACTGTACCTCTTATCAGAAAGCTTGAGAGATTGAACTCAAAAGATGTCCTCAATAAAACTGGCATTACTTTCAACCAAACATGTTTAAATGAAGGGCTCTACCCTAAATATACTGATTTCAAGTGGTACATAAATTAATAGATGATTAAGTTAAGAGACAGTTTTAGACACATAAAAACTAATTCCACCACAGCTTGGAATTGGACACATGCAGCTCATTCCTAGCTGTGTGCAAAAATTAAAATTTTCTTATTTAAAAGCTTAATAGCTCTTAATTAAAAGCCTAATCAAGTAGTGTTCAATACTCAATAGTGTTTTAATTCCAAGCTGTGTTGTATTCCAATACAGCTCACACAGTAATCGGAATTCGAACACAAGAGTGTTGGAATTACGAATTAGTAGAGTTTGAAGCGCAGCCAGAATTAGTCTCCCAAAATGCCAAATTTAGTCACACACAGCATCGGAATATTTGGATTTGGTAGGTTTGCATTCTAAAAGCCTTTAAATAAATATGGCAATATTTTGTGACGTTTCATTGTTGCTGGCAAGTGGCGCGTAGTGCGGTGTTTTGAGAGTGACGTAAAGCAAACAGAACTTGATTTTTGAACAGAACGGTGATTTTTTATAGCCATTCATTTTTGCCAAGTCCTTAACCCATTAATGACGAGAATTATTTACTGAATTTTTTGGGGGTTTCTTATGAGAATATTATCATTTGTGATGGTAATAAACAAAAAATATGTTCATATATTTATTTTTAGGGATGAACAATCGTATAGTGTTCAACGTTCCTACTTCCAAATATTTCAACTTTCGGGATATATATTCCTAACAGCTCTAAAGATAATGGTTCACTAATAAATAACAGAAAAACTTAGATCTAAGATCTAAATAAATAATTTCAAGGTACAAACAAGTTTTTGAAATACAATGCGTAACTATATCACATAGTACCTAATCTACTAGGAAAATGAGATGACCGGAATGCTTACACTACTGCCGAGCGGTTCCATTTGGAACCAGACAAAATATTTTATGATCTAAAAGACTTTAGAAACATTATATCACGTAATGCCATATACAGGATTAAAGGTACTCTCTTTATCGATAAAATTCTGCATCTAACTTATAAATAATATATTCTTACAACAAACTACTTACCTTTCTCTGCAATGATGTCAAGCCCTTCTGTCTGACACCCGGTACTTACAATCTTTTAATGTTAACTGAGCAGAGAGTAGTCGGCGCAGCAGAACCAAACGTTGCCAGAACATGGACAAGATGTGTATCAAACCTACGCATCCACTAGTATATTGATTTGACCATACAATTTTATTGTGAATCCATTTTTTTCTGCTGGTTCCAAATGGAACAGCTCGGCATTAATGGGTTAATGTGTCGAAATATACCACCTTTACCCTACATCTTAAGTTCTTAGATCATACACCTAAAGTTCATTTAGCCTACCTGACAAAAATTTCTTATTTGGCATGCCTATCTAGGTAAAGTTCATTTAGCCTACCTGACTTCAAAATGTATACAGTCAACAGATGAAAGATTTTCCTTAGCACATCATCATCCTTATTACCTTCCCCCGGGCTCCAAAAGTTCACACAAAGCAAATTGGACATTTAAACATCTTAGTTTTCAGCTCTTGTCTGGGCTGGGGCAGACTGGGGCCACTGGGCACTGGGCTGCGCATGATGCTGGCAATGCAGCAGGCATTCACTCAGGCGTTCCCCAGGGCTCGGTGATCTCGCCGGCCCTCTTTAACCACTTCATCTCCAACATCCCACTGCCGACCCCCAATATTGCCTCATACGCAGAATTCCTTACCATCCTTGTGTCGTCTCCGAGGCTTGACGCTACAGAGGCCGAGCTTGCCTTGCTCTTTCATAACGACTCAGACTGATCGGCAGTCAAGAAACTGGCCGTGGCTCCTGGCAAGTCCTCAGTCACGCTCTTCACCCCAGATATGCACCAATCCAGATACCACCCATCTGCCACCATCTGCAATGGCATCATCCCACTGGACAAAACCCCCAAAATCCTAGGCATCACCTGGGATACACACTTCACTTTCTCCCCCCATGCAAGAGCCATAGCCATAAAAGCGACGGGTTCTCTCTGCATCCTAAAAGCCCTTGATGGCACCAACTGGGGCTTCTCCAAGGAGGACATAGTTGCCACCTGCCGTACCATCACGCGCCCAATTCTCAACTACGCGGCCCCCATCTGGTACCCTGTTGCCTCCCTGTCTCTTATACACATCTAGATGTGTATAAGAGACAGGAATTATCATTCAAAAATACAAACTCACAGCTAGACTTGATAAGTAGGGAGCTCCGTGGCGGGGAAGAACTGCGTAGAAAGAAAGGCGCCTCCACACACAACCTGGAATATAATATAATAATATAGATAATATATTAGGTATATAATATAATCTAAATAATATATTAGGTATATAATATAATCTAACTAATAAAACTGAGTTGTATCAGGTGGCTCTAGTGTCTGACCTGGGCAAGTTGATGACCAGTGAGAATGAACAATAACTTTGTTATACAGCACTGTGTACACATACTTTCATGGAATATTATAGAAGTGAATAATAGGTATAGCTGTACTTGCGAGCCTAATTTAAACGGAAATATTATAAGTGAAAGGGAGGTTTAACTGCATTACAAACCCAATTTAAAAGTAATATCGTCAATGAAAGTATG